TTCAAGAAGTTGGTTATTGCTTAATACTAAACAATTGTTACTTATAGCTATTATCAGATATATATTACATTAGTATTAAAATGTCATTTTATTAAATTTCTATAAAAAAGAAAGGCTAATTTAAAAGACCAACTCTGTACAAGGTTTACAGTTGAGTCTGCAAAATTGATATTGTGAAGTATGCCTATATAACATATATCAGGTTTTGATATAAGACTGATCATGTACCCAATATATTTAATACTGTTTATTTTTGTCTTATATTAAGAATGTTAAGATTGAAAGCAACCTATTTTGTTGACAGAACTTCTAGATTACAGTTGGAAAAAGTACTAATATACTGGCTATTATACAATGTGCCATGATATGCATTAGTAAGTTCCTAATTTTATACATGGTTTGCATAATCTCTAAAACAGCTATCTTGATTATTCAAAATGTGCAAAGTATAGACTAATGATAATAAAACTATTCACATTTGAACACCTCTTTCACATCAGTATTCAGGTCAAAGGAATAACAAGAATCTAAAAAAAAACAATAATAAAAGAAGTTAAAAATTAGATTCATATAAAATCTTTTTTTTTTAATTTTATCTTTTTTTTTATTTATTTATTTTTTTTTAATTTTTTGATTTTTCTAAATTTTTGGTTTATAAATTATTTTTTAAAAAATTTTCATTTTTTAACTTCCATTTGAGTGCTGTTAATGAAGAAGAGTACTTTGGTTTTTTAAGTATATTATTGATTATTTATCCAATTTACCCTTTTGATTAACACATATTAGGCTTTCATTAGATAGTTTAAAACTGTGTATTGTATTGCTGTATGGTATATCATGATTGATTAATTTAAAGTCAATGTGTCATTGATCAGAAGATAAATAATTAATAATATACTTGAAAAACAGAGGTGTCTTTTTCTCTTAGCAGCATTCATTAATTTTTGAAAGACATTATAATAATAAATATGCCAATTAATAAATGTTATAGTTAGAGATAGGCAAATTGAACATTTTTTGAATTTACTGCACAGAATGCACAGCCTATAGCATTATGCAAGCTGATCAGAATTATGCCAACCAACCAGAATCATGCTAGCTGGTCTAAGTCTTAAAAATAATAATGCACAGCCTCTCAAAAATCTGTGCAATGATCCATCCCTAGTTATAGCTAATACTAATTTTTGGAAATCTTAATTTGGATATATTACACCTATTAAAACTCATATATACTTTTATTCTGCTCTAAATTCTAGTCTAAGCAATCCTAAAAATACTAATCTAAAAAATTTCACTAGCCAAAAATTTCGAGATCAGGTATAATATAAAAAACATTTAAAAAAAAATAATTGCCTGTAACTTGAGCTTTTGCCTATTAAACTGCCTTTTGTATACTAATTAAAATTTTTCTTTGCAAAATTTTGGTATAAGTACAGCTCTCTAAACCTAACCTACTAATAATACTCTAAACTTTAATAATAAAAGAATTTTTTTTAGCAAAATATTTTTACTGAAATCATACTAGTTTCAATAAAAAATACATTTTCAAAAAATTATAAAATTTTGTATTAAAATAGGTTCCCAAAAGCAGAATCAGCCAAAATCAGCATTGGCCATGACAATAAACATTTACTAGCACTAATCTAGAAATATAACATAATGATAAATATTGAAATTGCACCTACTTGAAATTACTAATCAGAACATCTGGAGCTTTATTTAGCATCAAGATAATGTGAATCAAACAAATCAAAATAAGGTTTACTAAACATAATAATAAAATTAGTGCAATATAAATTTTTTTTAAAATGTTTAAACCTAATTTTATTAAAAATGCTGATAAATTCTGTAATATAGTTCATAATCTCATAATATAATTGAAACTCAGCCACATAGTGAATAGGGATTGTAATAAATAGTAGAAAGCATTATTAAAAAATAAAATATTATTAGATTAGAGGAAGTAATTTCATTGCAAAAATACATTAATTAGTTTAAAATATCGAAATTACAGGTTAAGTACCTGATTCTTAGGCTAAATTTGTTATATGCCAGATCAAAAAAATCTGAAAAAGTAATTTAGCAATAGCAATATATTTGTCTTTGCACTGTACAATATCTTTGCAAATTATTTCTAATGTTTGTTAGTGGTATAATGGCACATTGTTAAAAAATAAAACCAATGCAAACATAGACTTTCCAAAAGGAAGTTATATGTGTAAAACAAAGGTTAGTGCAAGATAGAGAAATTTATTGGTTACTTCATTTTAGGAAAAGCCCAGAAGTATTCTATTGTTCTTCAAGTACATCAAATATACCTATATGTCTCCTTCTGTCTATTTAACTATTTTAAGAAATTTAAGACAAATTAAGAACTTATCTTTTCTGGGTTAAAGCCTAGCAGTATTCCATTGTTTTCTCAAATGCATCGAATATAGATGCAGGGTCTCCTAACTGTTTTAAAAAATTAAAAATTTCTTTAAACTTGTTGGATATAAATCAGTGATATCTCTTGCTGTTTATCTGTTTTTAAGAGTTTGAAAATTTATCCAAACTCATTGAATGTAAATCAGTAGTATCTTCTACTGTTTAACTGTTTTAAGAAATTGAAATTACTGGATATAAATAAGCAGCACCACCTATGTATTAAGAAATCCAATTGTAAAAAAACAAAAGTTTTAATAAAAATGATATTTAAATTTTCTTTAGATATATTTAATGTAAAATTAGTTGCTATAACAATTAAGAATGGATTGAAAATGCATTAGGCGCAAATGGCAGATCGATTGCATAATTATTTACATTGCATAAGTAGTCTATATAGCAGATGTAGCAGATTTGGTGAAAATATCATTTCAAGTAGATTTAGCATAAATAGCAGATTTGACCAAAATAGCATAACTAGCATATATCGCATATATAGAATAGTTAGTAGAATTAGCGAATATAGCATATTATGTAGATATGTAATTAGTATATAAGTGTGAGCATTTATTAAGTTGTAAGGTGTCTCACGAACATCATAATTAATAAACTATTTATCTGGCTTCGCCAAATCGAACATCCTCTTTCGAGACATTACAGTATTCTAGTTGAACATTACACAAACTCTTTTTTGGTTTACCCTAATGAGTAGGGATTTTAAGGCGTACATTTTCTCTGCATAACACTGCACAACCTATCCATTAAACTATTAAGAAAAATTTATCAATTATGTCAAATATAATAAGAAAGGAGCGATTTAAAACAAATTACTCCAGATATATCTCCTATCTATTATATTAATAAAGAACATTAATAAAAAACAGATATATTTAATATAAATTCTTTTGGATGCATCAAATATAATTTGTAATACCTCATTCGTTAAATTATTAAGGAAAAGATAATTATAAAAAATTTTTAAAAAAAGTAAATTTTCTTTATATACATCGAATATAGTATTTAAGTTTTTTTTTATCTGTAACAATGTAAAAATGTTTAAGAATTAAACTATATTAAAAAATGATAAAATATATTGCACAAAAAAATATAATACCTACAGACACAAGCCAGATATTGTTATAACCACCTCCTGAACTTGAATAAATAGAATCGCTTGAACTTTAATTGCAAATAATTAACAAAATATATAGCCAATTGTTAGTATATTACTTTATTCACTATAAATATAACCAAATTCTACTATAACAACCTGTAATACTAAAATATTCTATTAATCCACTCAAGATACTCATTCGATTACTTTTTTTTTTTTTATTTGATCTATAGTTAATAGTAACCTCTTAATTTTTTTTTGGTTTTCATTTTTTTCTTTATTTTATTTTATTTTTTTTGTTTTAACCTTTTCTTTGTTCTATTTTCTTCTTTCTATTAGTTTTTTCTTCCAATCTTTCTTTTCTTTTTGACTTTTTTTTATTCTTCATTTTAATTTTTTTGTTTGCATCCTTATTAATTCTTAAAATGCAAACTTCAAATATGTTAGAATACAACATATTTTATATTTACAAAAAAGCAAATACATAATACCAAAGATTTTGCAATGCCTTTGCATACAGTTGCATAATCAGTACCAAGAATTCTAAATATTCAAAAGATTTAGTGTGCAAAGAAGTCCTTAATGCATGGAATAAAATTAAATTAAAGCCCAAAAATGAAATTGAAAATACTATTGGATATCTTATTAAAGATGCTGTTTTTACTATCCAATATCTAAATCCTATCCAATATTTTAATACTGTCATTTCAACCCAAAATAAAATAACTGAAAAAATTATTGTTCCTGATGCACCATCACCAAATGTTGCAGCACAGAAAAAAGTAAAAGAAACCATCATTAAAACAAATAAGGAAATTGCCAAATATCAAGAGGAATATAATTTAACAACTGATCCAGAGTCCAAATATGAGCTAATGGATCGTATACAAAACCTTAAACAAGTCCTTAATAACAAAGATATAAAACTGCAAAGCCTAAAGAAAAATGCAGATTACTAGTACAAATGTAGAGAAAAAAAAGATCAAGATTTAAATAAGCATCAGCAAGTTGTAAAATATAACTCACTTGGGCACCCTTCTGTTTTGTACAAATATTCAGACTTATTAGAGCATATTCACAAAGCATAGAATTTAGTACTACTGATAGCAAGAGAAGAAAAGAAGTTATTAAAGTCCAAACATTTAATCACTTACAGAAGGCACTAAAGTCAAAATATGATAAACATTTTTCTCAGCCTACTGTATATAATTACCTGCTATCACATCATTTAAATACAATAGATGCAAAAAATCACCATCATCCAACTAATGTTCAGGTAAGCAATATGTATTTTAATGTTCATTAGCTTTTTTTAGATTGTATATAGTACTCCATAAAACTGAATTAAATTTTGAATTTGAATTAAATATTTGAAATTATTTGACAAAATTTTAATTAATTTGATTAAATATTTGATTTAAATTTAAAATTTAGTTTAATTTTGCAGAGTACTAATTGTATATATCTATATCTATAAATGTTCATCCTTTATCATTATATAGTTTAAAAATTATACAGTTGTCCCTCATTAATATTAGCCCTATTAAAATCAACCTAAGCTATAAAATGAATTTCTATATATTAAATTATACTTATTAATACTTTCTCATATATATTAACTTTAATATGTTCACTTATTAATATTACTATCAATATGAATATAAAAGTGATCCAAATAAGTTAATATAAATGAAAGACGACTGTAAAAAACTATTTTTATTTAATATATTAAGGTATAAAAAAAAATAATATTTTAAATTATAAACTTTTTGGTAACATGTTTATATCTTTTTATTTTTATCTATTAAAAATGCTAGTTCAGATCACAACTGTTTTAAGAAATAAAAGAACAGAATATCAGAATGTTCATTATTGTTTTGCTTTTGTAAAGATGACAAGACAATTTGCATCTCTATTTTAGACTTTTTCAGTGATTATATCACAAGATGATAAAGCCAAGATACTTTTTGGCATTTTTGTGTTAGTAGAAGTTTTAGAACTATACAAAGTATAAATAAGCCAGTTATTGTTCCAGACCATGACTTTTCTGTTAGTTCACAACAAAAACTTGTTCCATTGGTCTACTTAATTATTGATTCAAATAACACGAATGATACACTTCATAGTAGCCAATTATCAATCTATATTCAGCCACAATATGAGCTAGGAACAAGCTCAATCACATATATAAATAATCTAAATTTGTTGGTGAATAGTGGCTATTTTGACAATATGGTAAAGGTTGATAATAAAATAAGACCTATCTGGGTCCTTCTCATAGATAAAGGCCCAGATGAAAATCTCCATTATTTGAAAAATATTCCTAACTACTGTAATATGTTTCACTCTTTCAATCTTGATTATTTGACAGTTAGGACTCATGCACCAGGTTAGTAATCTAGAATCTATTAAAATAATTTAGTTAGCTAATCAATTTTATAAGAAAATTTTTATTTTTGCTTAGGTTAAAGTTGTCTAATCAACTATAATATCATTTATATAACTAAAATCAATAGTATTAGTAATATTTCAAGTAACTTTAACTCAAATAAAAATAGAATTTCTCAAATTATAATTTGTTAATAGTAATTAACTGAATTGTAATATTGATTAGTTAAAAATTAACCAGCTAATAAATATTAAATAACTGATCAGCTAAACATTAGTTTGTTATATTAATTACTCAAGATTACTCAGTATACAATTCTGTTGAAAGGAGTATAGCAACCCTTTCAAGAAAACTTGTAGGCATGGTTCTGCCTATTAATCAGTATGGTACTCATCTTGACTTACAGAGTAATGTCATTGACACAGAGCTAGAAAAGAAAAATTTTGAATATGTTAGTAATCTTCTTTGCAATTGATGGAAACAGTACAATATATTCAGAAAGCCAGTTGTGACTAAATACATTGATATAAAAAGTATCTCAGTTTCAGATAATGTATCTTGAGAATGAATAGAGATATGCAAATACTTATTAGATATAAAGAAATATAATAACATTAAATGTTGCTCTTCTAAAAGATGTGAGAAGGCTGCAAGCCTTTTTGCCTCAAATAATGGTTTTCTCACCTCTTAAGCAATAGGAAAAGATAGGCATTATATTAATTCAATACATCTATTAGAGTATTTTAACAAGAAAAAAATTTCAGGATATGACCAACTTTGTTCTTCCATGGCTGATAATTATATAAACTATCTCTGCTCTGTTTATAAAAATTATTTTTTAACAGTTTTGATGATTACTGCTTACAAAAAAAGCTAACATTCAAAGAAAGTTAGTCTGACTAAACATAAATCTGGAAGGCCAAAAAAAATCAAAACAACAGCAAAGAAAGTCTGTCCAACTAAATATGGACCTGAAAAATAAAAAAAAACTGATATGATAGCTAAAAAAAAAAAACTGAATAAAATTTTTCATTCATTAATTTTTTTATTTAATAAATTTCTGTTGTAATAATCTGAAATAAAGATTAATTTTAATAAAGAAATAATAGAAAATCATAACAAAACTTTAACAAAATGTTTAGTGCCTTACCTTATATTCTACCTAAAAATTCTTATCAACAAAGGTTTTAAATCTTAACTAAATAGTATACATCTTTTAAAAAAACCTTTTTTATTTTATTTAGTTGATTTAGTCCTATGGTCTAGTGAAAATTTATATATTTTTCACTGTTATAAATAGTAAAATACATGCAACTTAAAGACCTTATGATCTATATTAAAATTTGGATTTTATTTATAGAATTTGAAATTTATATAAATAAATTGGGTTTCTAAATCTATATATATGAAGACTCTTATAGTATAAAAGGGCAGTGAACAAAGCCTATTACTTTAATTCTTCAAAAAGTTGCATTTTAAAAAAAAATTTTTTCTTTTGTTCACTGCCCCTTTTTGCTATGAAAGTTCTATATATATTATAATTTAAATTTTGATATTCCTTTAACTATCAAAGTTTACAACTTAATTTTTATACTTGCTAATATTATTCAACCTCTATCTACCATATTGATAAATCTGAAATTTTATTATTCAAATCCAGTTTTAATAAAAGTACCAAGCATAGGTACCAAGTGTGTAAACCTCTTAGTGAATACTGTAGTATTAGGGAACTAAAAACTCTATTTATTAAATATAGTTATATTGATTAGTAAAAGTATTAATTTTGCTACATATAATGACTAGTTTGGGGCTTTACCAATTAAATTGATGCACATACCCAAGCCTTCTACTAAAAAGCAAAATCTACAGAAATAAAGAGGATTTTCATTATACTATCACATTAGATCTGGAATTGATACATATGAATTAAATATTGGTACAAAAGACATAGTTATATGAAATGAATTACATAGCAGTAAGGATGGGTAGATTGGTTTAGATTAGTTTAATATATTTTATAATATATGCAGAAGCTGCATAAATTAAACCACTTCAAACTTCTTATCCCTACATAGCAGTCATGTGAAACAGTTAGAATTTATTATAGTATAATTTTATAACTGCTAATTATGCACACATGGACTATAATACAATCTTGCAGGAAAAATAACCATTAAATATTAGTTACTGTTTCACATAGGCCATTATAACAATCTTGTGAAAGCATTAACCATTAGAACTGTTACTTACTGCACCAAATAAGGCCATTATGACATAATCTTGTGAGGAAAATAACTATTAAAACCATTAGTTACTGCACCAAATGAGGCTGTTATGATATAATTTTGTAACAGTTAATTACTGCGCCATATGGAACTATTAACAAACCATTTGGTAATTATGTAAGAGGTTTCTAGAGGGTTTTCAAAACTCTGGGTCTGAGAAGAGAGAGTATATTTACATAATAAGTAGAAGCTCTCTAACTATTGTCAAGTTTATAAGAAAGAAATAATTATATATTAAATTAGTTAGTTCAAATATAGTCAATATAACTACTACTAGTATTGTTAGACTAGATAAAGTATTTGTTGTTAAAATAAGCTTCAGTATTATATATATTTGTATTATTAAGAAAATTAAGAAGCCTATATTTCTACAAATTTGGCTACAAAATTATTTTGTCATATTAATTCTGACAAAACTCTTAACCTACATGCCAATTTTCTTGATATTGTATACTCTGTAGCTATTTGACATCCCTTACATATTCTATCTTATCCTTTATTAACAATCAACCCACAACAATTACCTAACATCTTTTAGCCAGGCCAACTTACTGACTGTCTACAGTCTATTGCTAATTCCAACTATAACCTAACTATTATCTCATTTTACACTAATGGTTCAGTTATTGAGCTTGGTACCTCTCAATGCTCTATGGGCATAGGTTGGGTCCAAGTAGATAAACTACAACTACTCATTCATTTTAGGCACAAATTAAACTTTTGCCATGCTCTTTTAAAGCTGAAATTCTTGCTATTCTTTCAGCAATCATTACTGTTTCTAGAAACTGTTCTGTTCATATTTATACTAACTCACAATCTGTAATCTCAAAATATCACAGTATTTGTTCATCAGCTTTTAAACTCTCTCATACTCATACTCCATACTTCTCCATTTGGCAAACTTTCATT